TGACAATACTGAAGGACTTGTTTGTGGGCAGTTTTGGTACGTGGCTACTAGACATTAACCAGCGTATTCAGAATGCTACCAAACTCCATCTTCAGTAGTTTGTTTCCTGGAATGATGTAAACATGGCTAATTCAAACGTGTTCTCAGTCATAAATATTACAGAGAGCTTTTACTTTTAAATAAATGTTTAATTGAAGCATACTGTATATTTTTAAAATGTACAACTCATATGTACCTCAAAGGCTTGTAACAAAGTGAACACACCCATGTAACTATCATTGTAGATCAAGAAACAGAACAGCCTTCCTGACGCTCCCTTGATCCTCATCCTAATCACTACCTGGCCTCACCCCAGGAAAAAAAGTATAACCTCTATCCTGATTTCTGTCACCAATGACTAGCTTTTTTGGTTACTTTCCCCTCAGCTTTGCTGAGGTATAATTGACAAATAAAACCATAACATATAAGTATACAATGTGATGATTTGATACATACATTCTGTAAAGATTTTCACAATAAAGTTAATTAATACTTTCATCACATAGTTACTTATTTTTGGTACAAAAAAATTCTACTCTCAGCAAATTTTAAGTATACAATACATATTAATAACTATAGTCATCATGCTGTACATTAGGTCTTCAGAACTTATGTATCTTACAAATGGAAATTTGTAACCTTTGACCAATATCCTCCCATTTCTTTCATCCCCCAGTTCCTGGCAACCATCAATCTAGTCTTCATTTCTATGAATTCAGCTTTTTTTTTTTTTAGAATCCATATATATAAGTGATACCATGCAGTATTTGTTTTTCTCTGTCTGGCTTATTTCACTTAGCAGAATGCCCTCCATGTTTCATCCATGTTGTTGCAAATGGCAAGGTTTCCTTCTTTTTTATGGTGAAATAATGTTCATTGTGTTTATTTGCTGCATCTTTTTTATCCACTTATCTGTCAATGGAAGTGTAGGTCATTTCTATATTTTGGCTGTTATGAATAATGATGGAATGAACACGGAGTGCAGATATCTTTTCAAGATCCTGTTTTCACTTCCTTTGGGTAAATGCCCGGAAGTGAGATTGCTGTATCATATGATAGTTCCTTTTTAATTTTTTGAGGAACTGATATGCTATTTTCTATAACTGTACCAATTTATATTTCCACCAACAATACACAAATGTTCCCTTTTCTCCACATCCATGCTGGCTCTTATCCTTTGTCTTTTTAATAATAGCCATTCTAATAAGTGTAAGGTGATATATCACTGTGGTTTTGATTTGCATTTCTCTGATGATTAGTGATGTTGAGCATCTTTTCATATATCTGTTGGTCATTTGTATGTTTTCTTTAGAGAAATTTATTTTTCTATTTAGATCTTTTGCCCACTTAAAAAAAAATTACATTTCTTTAACAATACATGAGAGTTCCAAATCTTCACCAGCACTTGGCAATACCACTCTTTCTAGCATCTTTTCATATGCTAATTAGTCACTTGACTATCCTCTTTTGTAAAGTGCCTATTCAAGACTTTTGCCCATTTTTTAAAGGTTATCTATCTTTTTTTTTTTTGGTAAGAGTTTCTTACGTAAACTAGATATTAGTATTTTGGGGGATATATGTGATGCAAATGTCTTCTCCTATTCTATGCATGCTAAATACCTATTAACCTAATTATACAATGCTTCATTATTGTATCCAATAATATTCTACTGCACCAAATAGTGATCCAGAGATCCAGATCCTTCCAACTTGTATGTCGACCGTCTTCAACATGTAGCTTCTAGGATTGCTGGGCTTGTCTCCATTATGCTGGCAGGAGGGAAAAGAACATGGAGGATGGGAAGTCTTAATAGCCAGATCTGAAAAAGGGTGTGCGTTGTTTCCACTCAGGTTCCATTAGCTAGAACTCCACCATGTGGCCATAGTGAACCCTGAGGGAGGCTGGCAAGTGTAGTCCAGCCGTGTGTCCAGGAAAAGAGATGCACTTGTTGACCACCCAGGAGGTTTTGCCACAGGCTTCATGATGGCAGGGCATTTAAGATAGGTTTTGAAGCAATGTGAAGTATTTCAAGTGAGATTATAAAGGAAGATTAATCCAGGTAACATGAAAAATAAGAAGGACTCAGAAATAAACAACAAAAAAATGCAAAGGCAGATTTCGAAAATAAGAGATGGTTCAGTTTTTTAGGAGCATGTGGGAGTAGCATGGAGTGTTGGAAAGACAGATTGAGGCTATTTCCCACCTGAGCCACCTTTTTAGAGGTTTTAAAATCCACCCTGAGGAGCTTCTATCCTTCACAGGGTTATTTGGCTACCCGGACTCACTCCCACTTGCAGGAAAATTGTGGCCCAGTTTCATTTTTTTCCTTTTCCTTCAAATGCTGGTCTTTGCTACAAAGTGAGTTCTGTGTTTGTCTCCAACACATGGTGACGGTAGTCAAGGAGAGGGGTACAGACCCTCAGCGTGAGCAGCTTCATTTTTAGCTTCTGTACCCGAGGGTTTTAGAGACTTCACTGGAGCATCCTGCCAAAAACCAATCCAGAGCATGGTGTGTGCTGAATGCTATGGTTGGGATGGATCCCAGGTTCAGTCAAAGGAGAAGGGAGGGGAATTCCTTTCCGACTCTAGGACACAATCAACTCATGCTCAGGATCCTGGAACTTAATTACCCATACAGTTTATCTTAGCTTGTATAGCTGCAACTGTGGCTCATAGTTAGAGAAGTATCCGGTCCTTTAAACTGCAGCCTCAGCCTTCACCCTGATGACCGCGTGGCAGTGATTAATTGAGAAGGGTGGGAGCTGGGGAAATCCTTTCCCCTCCCTTCAGATCTGCCAACTTGGCTTTGAACCAACAAGAATGTTTTGGCCAGGGAACACCCTTTAGCCTCTCCTTTACCCTCACCTCTGCCCCATGTTGCACATTCTATTTGGTAATCATATACATTCATTGTAGCTAGACTAATTTTGACCCAGGCTTTACTATGTGCTGCCTTCAAAGGCTTTTATATGAATTATTTCTCCTTCCTTGATCTTCTGACCATGAAATTGTTGGCTCTGAAAACTTACCTTGGCTCTAAAATTTGGAGAGGATTTATTTCATTATTCTTACCAGGATTAAGCCTGATTGTATATCTTTCTTATTGAGACTGTTGAGACTGTTGAGAAAAAGAGAAAACAGAACATTTGATGTAACACCCAACCTTCTAAAAGGTGCTTCTTTTCAAAGCAAACTTGGAAGAGACTTAGCACCCAATTTCTCAAGATCCTGATCACACTCATTGTATTTGGGTTTTACGGAAAGAGAAGGGTTCACTTTCCTGTGGCAAGAGTTTCTAGGTATTTTTTCCCTCTAGTAAGCCACAAAACAAACCCCAAAAAATCACTATTACATGGTGTGCTTTGTCTTATGTGTTATTTTTCTTCCACTTCTTCACCAGGATACCCTCACTGGTTCTTCTCCATGGTCGTCTTCTGTACTTATAATCTACAAAGAACTAAACCTTGCTGGTGGCAGGCATTTGGTGTTTTTCTCTTTTTGTTGCTTCCATGTAGGAAAGATGAAACTCTTCAGGCCAGTGTCTGTGGTAGCAGCTCATGCTTTGAGATGATGTATGTCTTGAAGTACTAAAACATTTGGGGAGACAGCTTGGTGTACTAGAATGGAATATGAGCAGAAATTAAGCAGACTTGGGTCCAAATTCTGGCTTTGCTTCTTAGCTCTGTGAGATCTTGAACAAAACTCTTGACCTCTTTGGTCTTCTGAGCCTGAATTTTGATAATAAGGTTAGTTTTAGCTGTTTTTGAATTTTATCTAAATGGAGCAGTGCAGTGTATATTCCTTTATCATTGGTGTCTCTTTCCTGATGTTGTGTCTCTGAGATTCATTCAAGTTGTTGCATGTAGCAGTAGTTTGATCAGAGGAGTTTATGGTATTGCATTATATATTGCAAATCATTTGTCCATTCTACTTTGATGGACATTTAGGTGCTTTCAGTTATTACCAATTGTGATTCTATGATCATTTTTGTAAAGTCTTGTGTACATACTCTTGAGTAATGTCACACACTGGGTTCCCCAGGAAGCAGCCCTGAGAGAGATTTGCTTGGAGGAACTTTACTTCTTTCTGCCATCAAGATCAAAGTTTTCTTCAAGAGCAACACCTATGGCAGAGTAAAGAAGGAGGATCAGACAGAAAGAGAACTTGGACTGCAATGCAGGCACAACAGAGTCTCAGCCAGCCTATGCGGGAGCTCTGTGGCTGGAATGGACCTACAGAGTTGTGCCAAATAAGGGCAAGAAGGCTAGACCTTTATACATCCTTCATTTGCCAGTCATTGGAAGAGGATTGACTGAGGGAAGGGAGCATGATTTTGAATGAGACATCTCTCTTTGGTGGAGAGTGGGGGTCACATCTCTGGGCTGTCAGCCATCAACATTCCTAACAGCTGGTAGAATGACTGTTCCAGTCCTAAAAGTCCTGAAATGTGTGTGTGCGTTTGTGTGTCGCAGGTGAAGCTGAGCAGTGCACCACAGTGTCAACCACATGTTGTTAGTAATTTCTAGAAGTTGAATTGCTGGTTCATAGGCTATATATATAATATATATATATGCATTCATCTCTAGTGGATACTGTCAAACAATGTTCCAAAGTGTTTGAACCCAAATACCACCTTAATTTGGATTCTGAGATCCCCAACTGGGATCTTGTCACAAAGATAAAGGAATATATATAGAAAGGAAACATAAATGTGACAATATTCTATTCATTAGCTTAAGATTTTCTATATTATGGGGAAAGCAAGATTGAGTGCTGTTGGAATAGGTTATTTATCATTCTCTACCTTATGGCTTGACATCTTGAAAACTCCACGTTGTTCAGGATGTTCTAAAAATCTAGTTATGACATTAACAGATCCTAAAGACTTACTTATGTGCTGAGATAAAAAAAAGGAAAGGAGAAATACGAATTAACCATTGACTCGAATTTCATTTTTTAGAGTGGCCAAATCAATGAAGGTTCCAGTGTATGAGACCCCAGCTGGATGGCGATTCTTCTCAAATCTGATGGACTCGGGACGGTGCTCTCTGTGTGGAGAAGAAAGCTTTGGCACTGGTAGGCTTTGTGGGCTTGGTGTTACTAGAGAGGGTGGCTCCAGCACTCTGACCCAGTCTGGAGACCTGTGAGCTCACTGTGAATCAAAAGCTGGAGGGAGAGTTAAAGGCAAAAAAAAAAAAAAAATCAGAGAACCTAGTGGAATATGTGCTATGACACACTCACCTCTTTCTGCTCATTTCTTCTCCATTTAAAAAATGTCTCTTTTTTCAAAAATTTTCTACTATGGAAATTAAATATATATATGTGTGTGTGTGTGTATGTACATGCACACTATACACGCACACTATTATATATAGTGAGAGAAAGAGAGAGAGAGAGAGAGAAAATGTCATATGAAATTCCTATGTGCTCATAACCTAGTTCCAACCATCATAATCATCAATTCAGCAACTCATGGTCAATCTTACTTTATCTCTACCCTCGTCTACAAGGGAGGCCTCCTCTCTGAGTTTTGTGAACCTAGTGTGAATCTTTAGCTATAGAGCTATTGAAAAAATATGTATTTTTAAAATATATATATATATGTATAACCACAGTACCATTATCACACCTAAAATGTTAAAAAGTTAATTTCTTCTTTCAGTATTTTAAAGATTTCACTCCATTGTTTTCTGGCTTGCGTAGTTTCCAGGCAGTGGGCCCTAACTCTTACTGCTATTGCTCTGTATTTAAATTTCCCCTACCTCCCACCTCTGGCTGCCTTCGTTATTTTCATTTTATCTTTTTTTTTTTTTACAGTTTAATTGAATATGTCTAAGTACATGGATTATTTTTAACCCTGTTTGGGGTTCTTTGGATTCTTTGATCTGTTGTTTGCTGTCTTTCATTAATCTTAGAAAATTGTCAGCCCTTTGCTTTTGACGGTATCTCCATCTCTATTTCCCCATCTCCTCTGGGACTCCAGTTACTCATAGGTTAGATAATTTGTGAGCATATGTTGTCTTAAAGCTCTTACATGCATTATTTCATTTTGTTTACTTTTTTCTTTTTGTGTTTCAGTTTAGATAATCTCTATTGGCATATCACTGATTCTTTCCTGAGCTGTGTCCAGTCTGTTTCTGAGCCTAGGGAAAGATTTTGTCATCTATGATGTGGTTTTTATTTCTAGCATTTCTCTTTGACTCTTTTTTTTTTTTGAGTAAAGGTAGATTTACTTAGAGAGATATGTAACTTTTGGAAGGCAAGAGAAAGGCCACGAGGTGTGGGGATTGGGTGCTTAGGTTACAGTAAAAGTAGATCACACACTCCACAGACAGAGTGTGGGCTGTCTCCGAAGACGAGGGAGTGAGAGAGGCGGCCGACTCTTTTTTTTAAAATAATTTTCATCTCTTCGATGAAATTCCTGATCTGTTTATATCTATTGTTTATCTTTTCTGTTAGATCACTTAACATATTAAACATAGTTATTTCAAACTTTCTGTCCGATTGTTTCAATATCTGGTTCTTTTCTGACTCTGGTTCTCTTGACTGCTCTGTCTCTTGATGAAGCAGTGGTTTACTCTTTCTTGCTTTTTTGTACATCTCATAATTTTTCACTGAATGCTGGACTGCACATATATATATGAACAGTTGAGACTTGGGTAAACAATATTTACACACAGAAACAGGCATACTTCTATCAAGGCATTAGTGTGCAAGGTTAAGTTTAATATAGTCAGGAGTTGAGCTGTGTTTGATTTTACTGTTTCTGTTATAGTATTTATAGTATCACAGTCTTCACATTCTTCCACAAGTAGGATATTTTTACCATGCACGGAAAGTGAGGGTGTCGTGGTGGAGATTTTTCAGTATTTCTGCTTCATTCACAGCTTTCAGCAGTTACCGCATGTTTGTGATACAAAACAGATCTCCATCACCAGGTACTCAACCCTTCTCTAGTGGCAGCAAACCTCTGCTTTGTACGGGTATAGGATTCTGGGCCCCAAGGTTTCCTACCCTTTCTACAAGGGCACAGGGTTTTTACTTCAACCCTATTTCAGTATTTCAGTAGCAGTGGATCTCTGACTGGGTCCTAGACGTGAGAAGGTTTGCAGCTCATTCATCCAGGAGCTTAAAACTTGTTTTCTACGAAAGAAAGGTTTGGGGAACTGGAAGGGTTTCTTCTTTCATGCTTGTCTCCTGGCAGGAGCTGATCATCTGCATGTCAGCACCACCAAGTCTCTGTCTCGTTTTCCAGTCTTTCTTGTAAGTACCCAGTGAAGTCTATGTCAATGAACTGGGAAGTGCACCCCTTATATCTGGAATTCCAAGCAACTTTAAACTAACATGGTGGGCTCTAGGTGGCCTTTAAAATTTTTTAAAACTCTAATGTGACTTCTTATTATTCACCTGTATGGAAGCATCCTTTTTATCCTGTGCTCTGCCAGAAGGTAGATGGTTTTGTGTCCTGTCTTTCTTTGGAGGGGCTTGTGACTCTCAGATCTCTAATCAGTTCAAAAAAAGTTATGACTTTGTAGGTTTCCTGGCATTTTTTATTACTGGGATGATGGGAGTGATATTCTCTTACAGATTTCCACATCCTTTAGAGAAGTGCAGAAGTGGAACTCCATAAGTAATTGCTTAATAATTCCTCCTATTCTCAGCATTCCTCCCCTTAATAGATTTTACAATTAGGGTCCAAAAGATATTAAATCACAACTAGTTGATAGCTCTTAATTCTCTTTTTATCTGCATTTCTTCCCTCTACATTTTCTCTTTCTAATTTATTCACTGAAGAAACTGGGTCCTATGTCCTGTAAAGCTTTTACCAGCTTTGATTTTAATGTTGATGTCCTCATTTTCCTTTCTAATTTGTTTAGTGCTTATATAAAGAGAAGCTATTGATTAATAACGCTTTTTCTCTGGCTTACAACCCACCATAACAGATTCTGTTATTAATTATGGCATTTTCTTTTTTAAAAACTCTACATTTTCTTGGGATTTTTAAGGTATACAGTCATATAATTTATGACTAAAAGATTTTTGTGTTTTCTAATATTTAGACATTTTATTTCATATTTTTATCTTATTGAATTAGCTATAATCTTCAAAATAATATTAAATTACAATTGTGATAGTTCATGAAATACTAAAACTGGGTTTTTTTCCTGTTCTCATATTACTTAGAATCATATTAGAAATGGCCGCTGGAAGGTGTCCTTTCAGAACCAGATGATATATTAATGTTTTTTCTTCTTTATTATGTGAATGTAATGAAGTGTCATGATTGATTTGCTGATAACAAACCATCTTTGAATTCCTAAGAATAAGTCTTATTTGGTCATGCTTAAACAGATTTCAGTAAAAGCACTCTAACTGGTCATAATGACAGCATTTCAGAATTTGTTGGGGTTCCTGAAAGAATTTTTTCCTAGGAAGTATTCTTCTTTTGCCAAAATCAATAAGACCCTGGCAGCATTGCCATTAATGGCATAGAAAGGCTGGCAGGCATCTTTGTCTCCTTGGAAAAAGAGAGGCCATATCGAGCTCTCTCAGGTCCTGCTGTTTGATCTCATGGTGTATGGATGGCAGGTCTGCACAGGACAGTTGAAACTGTTACACTTTTCCACTGCTGAGGTCCTAAAAAATGGATGTTCCGTGTGTCCTTTTTAGTGTTCTGTATGTCTAAACCAGTGACTGTGACTCCAAAAATCAGGGACTATATATTGTTACAATAATTCTGCCTGCTGGTTACTAAAATAGCACAGTTCTAGCAACTGGAATGGAAACTGGTAAGTCCAGGTTACCCCTCTTTCTCTTTGTCTTTATAAACCTTTATTGAGTGCTTACAATATACTACAAGTTTATAGTCTTTAAAATTAAAGGATAAAATATGTATAAACTGTATTGTACCCTTAATAACAAATCTTTGCCGACTTCAACTTAACAAGCATTTATTCAGTACTTAAAAGAGCGCTGCATTGGATGGTATGTAGAATACAAAACACTTAAGACCATGCCCTTAAGAAACTCAAGAGCTTTAGAGTTCATAATTAGAAAGATGCATAAGTGACTTTTCTATGAACCAGAAACTTTAAAGAGCCACAGTAGAGGAATAGGAAAAAATGCTGTGGGAGATGAGAAAAGGAGAAGATGACTTGGGACTGGAGGTTCAAAGCAGACTGGATGGAAGAGATGGAAGCTGGGTAGTTCTTAAAGAATAGGAAGGGTTTGCACACACAGAGATGAAAGGACAGGGCCTTGGATGGAGGGAGCAATGTCAAGAAAGGAACAGAAGTGGGAGAGCAAGGGACATGTGTTACAAGTGGCCAGGTGTTCACCCTGTTTAGAACAGTGTTTCCCAAATATGTTCAATCTCTGTCACAATTACTCAACTCAGTAATTGTAGTACAGCCACAGGCAATACATAAACAAATGAGTGTGATTGTGTACTAATAAATTTACTTATAGAAGTAGGCCTAAGTCCAAATTTGGCCCATGGGTTCATTAACCTCTGACATGCAGAGTATCAAGAAACAGTATTGGAAATACCAGTGGGGAGGGGCTCATTTTTGAAGCCCGTTGCTTGTTTAGCTTTGACTTTGGGACTTGACTCAACTGGAAATAGGAAACCGTGGTCTGCACAGGAGGGAGGTCTGCCTGCAGCCACTTTCCAGCAGCAAGCTTTGCTTTCAGACTGTTGTGCTGATTGCAATGTGTAGGCTGGACCGGAAGGAAGTTTTTCAAGTCTGTCACTGTATACTTGTCTGTCATTTTCCTTTCAAGGAGCAGAAGAGATTTTTCAATGCATAGAGCCCTAACAGTATCGCCTCCTCCAGCATACTTCAGGTTCTAGTGGCATTAGCCTGATTTGACAGATGAAGCTCTTGAGCCCAGGAAGTAGTTAAGTGACTCACCCAGGGCCCCAGAGCCTGGAAAAGGCCTCCACTTGAGTTAAACTACAATTGAACTGAAAAACAGTGCCCTGCGGTGTACGCCGCTTTCCACCGTACTGATCAGTCTTTCCGATGAAAGCAATGACTAATGCCATCTCTCCAGCACTCGACCGTAAATGACTG